CGGTGTAGTGGCGCAGTACATTGATTTCGCTAACTGGAGGGAATTGTAGAGTGCAATTTTGAAGAAGAAACACTCAGCATAGCCATTTCCACTCTATCGATTTTACGCGTCTGCTCCACAAAGAATCTCGTCAACATCTATCATTCATATTTATCACTTAAATTCTCAACTGCTATCACATAGTTTCCGAAACAAAATGCTAAACCCGACATGCTTCGGTTTAATAACTATAAATACAACATAAATAGAAATCACCGAGAGATAACAATCACGTCATATCATTCACGTCAACAAAATTATAGGCATAGTTAAAGAATGGGCAATCAATAAAGGTCACGAAAAAATCAATAATTCTGCCAAATTGAATGGAACGACGAGAACAGAACAAGTTTCTGGCAAATGCATTGACTGACAATGTGCTAACAGGAACTCAACACCACTACGATTACGAGAGTGACTAGTTTATTTCTGGTCCAGTTGGGAAATCGATTTATCGATTTCAGCGCCATTTACTTTTCGACGCAAGAATATTGCACATTTAATTTAGGGGTAAGGTTAAACTACAAACTGTCCTGCAGCCCTAGTATACGGTATCCTGTGGCACAAAAAGGAGACCCTAGGTTCCGAAAAATGGCAAAAAGCATCGATAGCCTTGGACACAGGTCATATCTAGACCTAGTTGGGCAGGTTGAGCAACTTTCGGAGATGGCACAGCTTTCTCTGCTTTAGCCGTAAGCGCAGCGGTTTTTAGAAGAAGAGCAGATCGCAGCTTTCTGTGCGAAACTCCACCCCTTTTGGAATGTTGATGGACTCGCATCAGTCAAGGAACAAAATTATTTTTCCCCATTTTTGATGCGACGAAGAGAAAAAGACCAGTTTGAAGTCATATATCCATTTTTTCTGGAAAAATTTCACGTGAACTTATTGGTTCTATCATGAGGAATATTTTGGGAAACTCCGCCTCCTAGCGGAAGCTCCGCCCACTCAAATATACACGTCCTTTGGCTTTTTTCAGTGCTGAAACCATTCTATCTGCGACATTTTTGGGAAAGTTTCGCTTGTGGAAAGCTTTTCGCCTCATGCTAAACTCCGCCTCGATCCGAAAGCTGCAGCCTTGGTGCCCACAAAACGTGCCTTTTCACTAAAATTCAACGCTAAATAAAAAGTTACCAGTATTTTAACAAAAACAAAGCCTATATAAGTAGCTTATAGGGTCCTAAAACTTGTAATATGATTTTAACATTATCTTTGATGAAAGTTATCTAGGAATAACTAAATGCAATACGAAAAATATGGCAAACATCTAAGGGATTAGCCCGTATTTGTTAATAATCAACTACGATAATGTACTTCTACCGTGATCAGCGCCGTCTTCCTACAGCACTGTGTTGCTCCGTCGCTTTCCATCGTCCGGATCAGAAAGCAACTTGAAAAGTAATTCGCCGAGTCTGTCAACTTCACGTAGATTGTCCACCTGCAACAGATCGATACGTATTCTTAACATTGCAGTATCGAGAAGGGCTTCACAGACAGTTGTAGCCAAAGTTAAGTCTACCAGCCATAATTGCGTGGTCCAGATCATGTCCATTAATTTACCGTCGTCAATTTGATCGATACGCACATTAATGCCCTGTAATCGATCAATTTAATCGATATGGATCAATCGGTAAGCAGGGGAGCTACCTTGGGACTTATCCGTACGAACGGTATGTTGTGGGCATGGCAGCGCTCCTGTGCCATTTCGACGGTTGTGAGATCTTGGCCAACTACCTGAAGGCTCATCATTCAAATTGATGGTTTCGAAGTGGACGACTCTGCGATAGAGACGAGCTTTCACAGTACCATGAAGGAATTCCGTTCCGTTTCGGTAGATCTACGAATTTTATTGAAGGGAGCTTCCTGCCCTAGAGCTTGTAGCGACACGTCTCAATGAGAAATGCGAGACGAACGAGAGCTGATGAATAGACTGCCTCCTGTATTTACTGATGTCACAGCACGATCGCTATCATTTCATTAATATAAGATCCAGAGACCGCGATGCTTGGTGGTGATGGGTCATGTGTGAGCATGGACCGCTCACGCCTATGCGCTGTGTGGTGGTGGTATCGCTTTAAAGCTCTTTCACAGTGACAGATCCGATTACGTCATCAACCGCATCACCCTCGAAGCCGTCGTGATTAACTGCCTTTTTTTTAAAGTACGTGGACAGTGATCTAGCGGAAAATGAGCCGGTTTTCAGAGCGGTACTTCTGACCTCACTCGAAAAATGGTGCTCATTAGCCAACAGCCTGGGATAGCGCTGCGTTTCTAGTCGAGCGCCACTCTTCAGTAAGAAATTGCTGGCTCGACCCTTAGAGGTTCAACTTTGCTATGTCCTACTCTCATCGAGTTAAGGAGAGATGCCTGCCGTCATATCGAAGTCCATCCTTGTCAATCGTATGAGAGGCTGAGATTGCATGTTCCTTGCCGTGATGCGGATCGGGCGCTTGTGTATGTCCCTCTGCTTGAGCTGGTTCCCGTGACGGTAACCGAATCGAGACAAGCGGCCATCGATTTTGTTTGTGTGTTTTCGAGAATGAGTCAACTCCTGAAGGTGCAGATTGAGCAAGACCTCCATCACTAGGCTGCCGCGGCCACCGTAATTATTAGTAGAGAAGTTAGTAGAATGGCCGATACAAACCAATAAGGGCTGTGCTGTTCAGAGAAGCGATCGAAGAGTTGGCAGTATAAGGCAAACAAAGTGAGAAAGGAGGGTTTTTTTTCATGTACTCGCTGTTTTATTTAGAGCTGGGTAAAATGATGGCCCCGATGTTAAATAGTACTCGAATGACCGGAAAACAAGAGATCTCGGGTGCGAATCCGCGGCTGTGCGCAGTGGCCCACAATCTACCATCTCGTGTAACGCTGAAATATACGGAAGATAAAGACGTTGATCGGAGTTACTGGTTGGATCGTTTTTCTCATGAAGCAATTGATTTTTGTAACCTTACATAGAATGAATAATGCCCAAAGCTCACCTTGAAAAGGATATTTAGCGGGATAGTTAGCCACGAAAGACCCGTCGACGAACTTCTTGCCCTGGTAGCTGAACGGCTCGAAATACGTCGGTGCTGCACTGAAATCATTCAGCATGATCTTCCGAGCTTGAACTGTTCCTACTTAGACAATTGCTCTTTAAGGAAGGAATCTTGCGCGGAAAAATCATGATTCTATTTCAGCCATAAATCACTGGCTTGAGACTCATTATCCACGATAATAGTGAAACCGAAGTATTGCTTTCGTTTTGATTAGAAATTCGAAAACTCGAAAAGGCTGCTACGCGTTCGAATTGCCCACGGACGTCTTTCACGAATGCTGGCGACGGGGATGCTCAAACTTGGTTCTTGGAGTGCATTCACTAGAAGCTCTTTCTGGCCTTCTGCTTCGTTGCATTCACATCTTACACTTCTACTCCATCCTATTCCATCGATCGATTTGTCTCCACTCTCCGAAATCGCGCGCTTTAACCCGATTCTCTCATTGCGTCGCCTGGTACGTAGCCGGCCAAACGCCGTCTTCTTTCCATGCCTCGCCTGGCTCTGCCTCCTGGTCCTTCGATGGTCCATAACGTGTAGTTTTTGTACGTTTGTTTCTCTTCAGAAACCGAATCTTCATGCGTGAAACTTTGTGTGCTATTTCCAGTGATCACAACTGACATATTCATGTTAGGAAAGAGTGCAAGAATTTTCCGCGCAAGATTCCTTTAAGAGTTCATTGATTTTGCGCGCGCAGCAATACGATATCGCATACTTTGCGCGTCTTTGCTGTTCAAAGTTTCAAAGT